CAGGGAAAATACTTGAAGAAATTGGCTTGGGAGAGTATTTTATGAGGAGGACCTCCTGGGGAATTGAAGCAACACCAAAAATACATTACTGGGATATGATCAAACTAAAAAGCTTCTGCACAGCCAAGAACACAATACGTAAAGCAAGCAGACAGCCCTCAGAATGGGAGAAGGTATTTGCAGATTATGTCTCAGATAAAGATTTAATAACTAGAATCCACAGATAACTCAAACATATTAGGAAGAAAAGAACAAGTGATCCCATCTCAGTATGGGCAAAGGACTTGAACAGAAACTTCTCTGAAGAAGACAGGTGCACAGCCTACAGACACATGAAAAAATGGTCATCATTCTTAATCATCAGAGCAATGCAAATCAAAACCACTTTGAGATATCATCTAACTCCAGTAAGATTAGCCCACATTAAAAAATCTCAAAACCATAGATGTTGACATGGATGTGGGAGAAAAGGGTACACTTTTGCACTTCTGGTGGGAATGCAAACTAATACATTCCTTTTGGAAAGAAGTTTGGAATTCATTTAGGGATCTAAAAATAGACCTGCCATTCAATTCTGCAATTCCTCTACTAGGTATATATCCAGAAGACCAAAAATCACTTTAGAACAAAGATATTTGCACCAGAATTGTTATTGCAGCCCAATTCATAATTGCTAAGTCATGGAAGAAGCCCAAGTGCCCATCGGCCCATGAATGGATTAATAAATTGTGGCATATATACATCATGGAATTTTATGTAGCCTTAAAAAAAATAGAGACTTTATTTCCTTTGTATTTACATTGATGAAGGTGTAACTTATTCTTCTTAGTAAAGTATCTCAAGAATGGACAAAAAGGTATCTAATGTATTCAGCCCTGCTGTGAAACTAATATATAAGTACCCACAATTGCATATGAAAGCTATAACCCAACTACAGCCCAAGATGAAGGGGAAGGAGGAGGGGGGAGGATGGATGGAAGGATGGTAATTAGTGGGACCACACCTATGGTGCATTTTACATGGGTACATATTAAATCTACTAAGTGTAGAATATAAATGTCTTAACACAATAACTAAGAAACTGCAGTGAAGTCTATGTTAACCAGTTTGATGCAAGTATTTAAAATTGTATATAAAACCAGCATATTGTACCCCATAATGGCATTAATGTACACAGCTTTGAATTAATTAAAAAAATCACAGTATAGTTTACATGGTAAACAAAGTTTACCTCTAGACGATAAAAAAAAAAGTGAAAAATAATACACTGAAAGTCACAGACCACAATAAAAGTGAAGCCAGGCATGTGTACAAATAGTAAGAACATATATGTGTTTATTTTATGTGACATTGCCACATGACATTGTCATCTACAAAGTTCATGAGAACCATACAATTTGAATTCCACCATAAATCACAAAAAAGATCTCATAATGTTTTAAGTAAGTTTATAATTTTGTGTTGGGCTGCATTTATAGCCATCCTAGGCCACATGTAGCCTGGGGGCCATGGGTTGGACATTCATGGTTTAGATAAACAACCCAGGCTCTTTAGCTGACTTAAAGAAAAATCAGACAAATCATCTGTGGGCTGGAAATCATCTTAATTTCTCCTTTCTAGCCCCCCTATATGAGATGTTCATGAGGCTTGTCAGGGGAGTTTAGAAGGTTTACTCCAGACAAGTGCTCTTTGTTTTCTTGAGGTAAGTTGTATAGGGAAGAACGGGACTTGGGAGGTCAGGGAAGTATTGAAAACCTAAAACACAAGTCATTAGTTTTGAGAGTTTAATTATTAATGATATTTTAAAATCCCAGGGTGGGTAATGAGAAATGCTACAGTTATAGTTAGTGGTATCACTCAAGGAAGGGGCATAGGGATGTGATATTTCTCTCCAATTTCTAGAACAGTGTCCAAAGGTCATTATTAAGTAGACATTGACTATGTGAAAACCTCTGTGGGGAATGCAGACATGAATAAGATCCCTACCTCCTTGCCACATACTGGTTTATAGTCTATTAGATGAAGAGGAATACAGGAAAAATGGAATGCAAATTACTGTTAACTGTTCTAAATGGTACAAGGTGCTGAGAAGAGGTAAGACTAATCTGTAATGATTCAGTGAATGAGATTATTACAGGGTAAGGGATAAATATTTGTTTTTCCAGGATAGTTATTTTTAATGGAAACTGAGCTTATACTAACAATAGACTGCATTATCCTTTGAGAAAAGGATAGTTATTTATATGCTAACTAAGGATTGAATAGGTTGCTAGAATTTTACCATTAAAGTATACAGAGGAATTAAAATTATAGGTTTATACTCATACATATTTGTAAGTTTGTGTTAGACTTTTTGCCATTCAATATTTTCTTTATAATATGATGTATGAGGGTAACACTAAATGATGTATGACAACTATGTTTTCTTTATACACAGTTTGAAGGGGAGAGCTTTTCCATTTCAGCATGACTGAACTCTTAAGGCAAAGCCTTAAAAACCCAACAGTTTAAAGAAAAAGAAGGTACCCTGTAAGAGAGCCAAAGTTGTATACACTATTTGGAGCTTTCCAAAGATATCCATGTATTGTTGCCATATGTTGTTAATAGCATCTACCTAGGGAACAGCCTATTGGCAAACTGCCCAAGGGGCTGACCAGTTCAAATATAGAGTATTCTTCATTAAGAACATAATACAATGTTAATCAAAAGTTAATTATTCCGTGTTTTAAAAACCTGATTTGAAAAACAAATTTTAAGTAAATTAACCCCACTTTGATTCAATTGTTTTAAACTGGTTTTCTGTTTAACATACTATCTAGTAACATTAAGAATTTTTCTTTTTTAAAAAAGCTTAATTTAAAATGTTTTAAATTCTGTAGTGATGGAATTTCAAAATAAATAAAGGACTCTAAGCCTTTGCTTTTCCCATGTTCAGGGTGGTTATATTATTCACCCAGATTGTACCAAATTTGTCCATATACAGGCTTATCACATTGAGCATTCACATATACCTACATCAAGCCATAAGGATTTTCTGTATTCTATTCTTTATTATTATTTTTTTTCAGCCAGGGCTGGGTTTGAACCCATCAACTCTGGCATATGGGGCCGGCACCTTACTCCTTGAGCCACAGGTGCTGGCCTATTCTTTATTCTTTTAATTAAAATTCATGCTTACAAAGATTTCAGCTTATTATGCACTGAAACTAGTTTTTTTCTTCAGGTTCAAGGCTTATAAGTCCATGGTATCTGGTATTTGAAACATGTTTCATTTTTAATTGTTATGGGTAGATAATAGTTGTATATATTTACAGGATGATGTTTTGATGTAGACATACAATGTGAATTAATCGAATTAGAGTAATTTTTGTATCCATCACCTCAGGCATTTATCATTTCTTTATGTTAGGAACATTCTAAGCTTGCTTTTAGTTAAAGTACACCCTAACATACTGATGATTATAGTCACTTTGTTGTGCAGCCAAATATTGTTCATTCTATATAATTATCTGTATTTTGTTTTTTTTTCCACCTACAATGGACATCACCCTCTTCTTTTTTCTTTTCTTTTCTTTCCCTTTCTTTCTTTCTTTTTTTTTTCTTCGAGACAGAGTCTCAAGTTGTCACTCTGGTAGAGTACCATGGCATCATAGCTCACAGCAACCTCCAACTCTTGGGCTTAAGCAATCCTCTTGCCTCAGTTATTTTATTTTTAGTAGAGACAGGGTCTCACTCTTTCTCAGACTGGTCTCAAACTCATGAGTTCAAGTAATCCATCCTTCTCAGCTTCCTAGAACACACTCTTCCTTTTCACTACTTATTTGGAAAAAACACACATTTTCACACATATACATATATATAGACAGACAATGTATTATGCCATTTAAATAATGAATCTCTATGCCTTTCATATAAGCTTGGAGTTTATTTTTTCCCTGTCAATGTCTAATTTAATCTTTCCTCTTATAAGAACCAGAGGTGGTTTTTACATATAACAATTCTCCCCCTAGATGACTACTCTTTGATAGTCTGACCCTTTCATTTTGGATTTGCATTGCTGCTCTTGTTTTCCTTTATTCACAGTGTTCTGCTCATCTTTTTTCTGGTGTTTGCAGTTCTGCCTTTGTAAATGAAGAAGAATCTTGGGAAAAGTACAGAAATGGTAGGAATAAAGGGGAGCAGGACAAGACAGTCAAGGGATTCTTATTCTAACTCTCCATTATCCTTCTGTTGGAGTTGCTGAACTATAGAATTTGTGACCAAAGTGGGAAACAGAAAAATTATAATTATATAGTCTGCTTATATTAGGAGGTAATTAATATTTACTTATATTTTGAGTAGATAAGATGGGAATCTGGTCAGTGTAAGGGAGATCAAAAGATAGTCCTTAATGTTTTCTGGTATATAAAACTGTTGGAATGTGTAGAAGATTAGAGAGAAATTAATTTCTGTACTACCTAAGCCTATTATATGTTGCCTTTCCTAGATAATTGTGCAAGATTGATTCCCAGCATGTGCAGGTGTTGTTAATCATGAGTGCTTTAGTTTTAGATGCATAAGAGAAGCTAAGGCCCCTAATGAGGACTGTTGGCTGTGAATCCCATAGCACAAATGAAGAAAGAGATATTAGATGAAAGAAGAGTTCAAGGGTAGTAGTAAAGATGAGATTTTCTTTTCCAATTTAAGGCTGGGATGACAACAATCTCAAAGTAACACTGCTTTCAGGCAGTGGCTTGTTGCCCTAAGTGACTTCAACTTAATTTATTGTTTCACAATCGCCTAGTGGGCTAGAAGACCACTAAAACTAGAAGGAATCATAATCTATTTTATCTGTGTAACAGAAGGTATTACTATTATTTAAAGTGTGCTGTTTGGGGGAAGAAATCATCTATCAAGAATCAAGAGACCAATCTGAAATTGTATAGCAAGTTCATAACATTTATTGTATGCCAATGCCAGCCTAAACTTCTACTTTCTTTCTTATTAAAAGTCCAGAGTAGGTGCTCACTTCAGCAGCACATATACTAACATTGAAATGATACAGAGAAGATTAGCATGGCTCCTGTGCAAGGATGCCATGCAAATTTGTGAATCGCTCCTTATTTTTAAGATTATGAAGGAGAATTTCCCAAACATGGCAAGAGATACAGAAATCCAAATAGTAGATAGTATCAGAAACCCAGCATGACTCAATCCAAATAAAGGATCTCCTAGACGCCTTGTCATTAACTTTGCCAAATTTAATATGAAGGAAAAGTCCTGCAAGAAGCCAGGCATAAGAAAAGGATTACCTATAAAGGAAAAAATGTCAGGTTGAATGCAGATCTTTCAGATGAAATTTTTCATACCAGAAGAGGATGGTCAACAACCTTCAATCTTCTAAAACAAAACAACTTTCAGCTCAGGATCCTGGATCTAGCTGAACTAATTTTCATTAGTGATGGAGAAATCAAACACTTTTCTGATATCCATATGTTGAGGAAATTTACCATAACTAGACCAGTTCTCCAGAAAATACTCAGACCCATTTTCAATAATGACCAACACAATGGTCTGGCTCCAAAGTAAACTCACCCAGAATTTCAGCAACAAATCCTAGATTCCACAATGGTGAAAGGGTTAAAAATATGAACTGAATCTGTGAAAAACAATACAGCTAAAACACTACCATACCTATCAATTCTTTCAATTAATGTAAATGGCTTAAATTCTCCTCCAAAGAGGAACAGGTTAGCTGACTGGATACAAAGCTAAGGCCAGGTATGTGTTACCTACAAGAGACTCATCTTACCTCAATGGATAAAGCAAGATTCAGGGTGAGGACATGGTCATCTATAATACAGGCAAATGGAAATTAGAGAAAAGGAGGGGTTGCAATCTTGTTTGCTGATACATTTGGATTGAAACCAACAGAAATAAGGAAAGACAAGGTTGAACACTACATATTTGTCAAGGGAAACACTCAACATGAAGATATTTCAATAATTAACATCTATATGCCTTCCCTGAATGCTCCTCGATTTATAAAACAAACCCTAAAGGATCTGCACAATATGGTATCTTCCTGCACTATAGTAGTTGGAAATATTAACACCCCTTTGGCAGTTCAAGATAGATCCTCTGAGAAGAAACTAAACAAAGAAATAATGGACTTAAACTTGACCCTAGAACAAATAGACTTAACAGACATTACGGAACATTTCATCCGAATAAAATTGAATACACATTTTTCTCATCAGCACATGGATCATCCTCTAAAATTGGTCATATCTTATGACACAAGTCTAACCTCAACACATTTAAAAGAATAGAAATTATTCCTTGTATCTTCTCAGACCATCGTGGAATAAAAGTTGAATTCAACAGCAACAGAAACCTTCATACTCAAACAAAGTCATGGAAACTAAATAACCTTAGACTGAATGATAGATGGGTCAAAGATGAGATTAAGAAGGAAATCATCAGATTTTTTGAACAAAATGATAATGAAGACACAAACTATCAAAACCTGTGGGATAATGTAAGGTTGAGTCCTAAGAGAGAAATTTATAGCATTAGAAGCTTTTATCAAGAAAACAGAGCAAGTCAACAACCTAATTAGCCATCTCAAGCAACTGGAAATGAAGAACAACCCAACCCCAAACCCAGCTAATAACCAAAATTAGAACGGAAATAAATGAAATTAAAAACAAAAGAGTCATTCAGAAGGCAAAACAAAAAGTTGGTTCTTTTTGTTGTTGTTGTTTAGAGGCAGAGTCTCACTTTAACACCTTCAGTAGAGTACTGTGGCATCACAGCTCACAGCAACCTCCAACTCTTGGGCTTGGGTGATTCTCTTGCCTCAGCCTCCCAAGTAGCTGAGACTACAGGCACCCACTACAATGTCTGGCTATTTTTTTTTTAAGTTTTCTTATTTTTACATATACATGTGATTATTAGGTTTCCACTTTTTGCCTTCACAGAATTAAAAAGACTTGACATTTAACAACAAAACAATGTTTAAGATAAGGACTAGAAACAAAAACCACGTGAAGATTGAATGAAGATAAATACATTCAGAAAAGAAATCAGACAATTGCTGCAATGAAGTATTAAGCAATAATAATAACAGTAATGCAAAGAAAGTAGCATTCACATTGTTAAATAAGAGTATGACTATTATAGAATGCTTTGACTCTGAGGTTCAGTATAGAGTCATCAAATTAACTTATTATTTTTTCCAAAGTCTCAAAAAATAGACAAATAACATTTATAAATAAAAATAAAAGATAATTTCATAAAACAGATCATGCCAAATCTTATAGACAATAGAAAAAGAAGAAATACTTCAAAATCATTCTGCTTAATCTGGATACATCTGATATTAAAATTGGAAAAATATATTATTATAAAGGGGAAATTACAAACATAATTCACTTTTAAATGAGGATGCAGTATCCTGTATCCTAAACAACATATTAACAAGTTCAAATAAAAATTAATGTTTAAGTGATGTACTTTAGTCAAAATGGAATCCAATTTATGTCAGAATTAGTCACTAATTTCTTTTTTTATTCTTGTCCTTACCCTCACTTCCTCCCTCCTTCTCTTCCTGCTCACCCCTTCCCCTATGCCTCACCATGTCATTAATTGTCATTAATTGTCCTCATATCAAAGTTGAATACATAGGATTTATACTTCTCCATTCCTGTGATGGTTCACTAAGTATAATGTTTTCCACCTTCATCCAGGATAGTACAAATGCTGCAAAATCTCCATTTTTTTAATAGCTGAATACTATTCCATGGTATACATATACCACAGCTTGCCAATCCATTCCTGGGTTGAAGGGCACTTAGGCTGTTCCCACATTTTAGCAATCATAAATTGAGCTGCAATAAATAGCCTAGTACAAGTATCTTTATAATAAAAGTTTTTTTTTTTTTTGTTCCTTCTGGATAGATGCCCAGTAATGGGATTGTAGGATCAAATGGGAGGTCTAGGTTGAGTTCTTAGAGGTTTCTCCATACTTCCTTCCAAAAAGGTTGTATTAGTTTGCAGTCCCACGAGCAGTGTAAAAGTGTTCCTTTCTCTCCACATCTGTGCCAGCGTCTGCAGTTTTGAGATTTTGTGATATAGGCGATTCTTGCTGAGGTTAGATGGTATCTCAGGGTGGTTTTAATGTGCATTTCTCTAATAATTAGGGATGATGAGGATTTTTTCACATATTTGTTAGCCATTCATCTGTCTTCTTTAGAGAAAGTTCTATTCATGTCTCTTGCCCATTGATATATGGGATTGTTGGTTTTTTCATGTGGATTAATTTGAGTTCTCTGTAGATCCTAGTTATTAAACTTTTGTCTAATTCATCATATGCAAATATCCTTTCCCATTGGGTAGGTTGTCTACTTGCTTTGGCTGTTGTCTCCTTGTCTGTACAGAAGCTTTTCAATTTAATTAAATCCCGTTTGTTTATTGTTGCAGTTGTTGCTATTGCCGTGGCAGTCTTCCACCCAGCTATTTTTTGTTGCAGTTTGACCAGGGCTGGGTTCGAACCTGCCACCCATGATATATGGAGCTGGTGCCCTACCCACTGAGCCAAAGGTGCCACCCACAAAAGTTGGTTCTTTGAAAAGATTAATAAAATCAATGAAACTTTGGCTGAACTAATGAGAAACAAAAAAGTAAAATCTCTAATAACTTCAATCAGAAATGATAAAGGGGAAATAACAACAGACATCACAGAAATTAAAAATTCCTCAGTGATTACTACAAAAACTCTCTTCTCAGCAATATGAAAGTCTGGAGGATATGTGGACCAATACCTAGAAGCATGCCACCTTACTAGAATCAACCACAAAGAATTAGAAATTTTGAATAGACCTATAACAAGCACTGAAATAGCAACAACTATACAGAATATCCCAAAAAGGAAAAGTCCAGGACCAGATGGTTTCACGTCAGAATTCTAGCAAACCTTCAAAGAGGAGCTAGTACCTATATTACATAACCTTTTCCAAAACACGGAAAAGGAAGGTATCCTCCCCAACATGTTCTATGAAGCAAATATCACCCTAATCCCCAAACCAGGAAAGGACCCAATAAAGAAAGAAAACTATAGATCAATATCATTAATGAATATAGATGCAAAAATATTTAATAAGATCCTAGCTAACAGAATTCAATGACACATCAAAAAAATTATACTGGCGTGGTTGTGGAGAAAAGGGTACACTTCTACACTGCTGGTGGGATTGCAAACTAATATGTCCCTTTTGGAAAGTCATCTGGAGAACACTTAGAGAACTAAAAATAGACCTGCCATTTGAATCTACAATTCCTCTGCTGTGTATACATCCAGAAGACTAAAAATCATGCTACAATAAAGATATTTGTACTAGAATGTTCATTGCTGCCCAATTTATAATTGCTAGGTCATGGAAGAAGACCAAGTGCCCATCGACCCATGAATGGATCAATAAATTGTGGCATATGTACACCATGGAATACTATGCAGCCATAAAGAAAGATGGAGACTTTATCTCCTTCATGGTTACATAGATAGAGCTAGAATATTCGTCTTAGCAAAGTATCGCAAGAATGGAAGAAAAAGTATCCAATGTACTCAACCCTAACATGAAACTAATTTATAGCTACCATAGGAAAACTATAACCCAACATTAGGCCAAGAATATGGAGAAAGGGGAGAGGGATGGGAGGGAGGGGAGAAGATGGGTGCAAGGAGGGTGATTGGTGGGATCATGCCTATGATTTATCCTATAAGGGTACATATGAATCTTTCTAAATGTAGAATATAAATGTCTTAACACAACAAATAAGAAAATGACATGAAAGCTATGCTAACCAATTGGATGAAAGTATTTCAAATTGTATATAGAAACAACACACTGTACCCCATGAGAGTATTAATGTACACAGCTATGATTCAATAAAAAATTTAAAAAAGCACCAATGTCTTACTTTGAAGACCTTGAAAAAATAGTAATTCATTTTACATAGAATCAGGGAAAAAAATAAATAGCCAATACATGACTTAGAAATAAAAATGAATCTGGAGGCATCACACTACCCAGCCTCAGGTTATACCACAAATATATAGTGATCAAA